TGGGCTTATCAATCCCTCAGAGGAGGAATTTAGAAGTGGGCCCCCTGCGGCGCGCCTCAGTTAAAGTCCCAGTTCATAGCTATGGGTGAAAACCCAGAACTTTTCTGATAGGAAACTGTTAAACTGTTAAGGAAAAGTGCGCACTCCTGAAAGAGGATAATTTTGTGGGCGCCAATACTATTTAGCCACCCTGTAGTAAAATTTCTAGGCAGTTCACCTGTTCGTGGAGTATAGCGGTAGTGAAGGTGACCTCTGTTGTTCTCCACCGTTCAGGTGCAGTAGACGTCGTGAAGACCACAGCAGAAGTGGTTGTTGTGGGTGTGGTCACGGTTGTGGACGGTGGTCTCCATGGTGGGAGTGTTGTCTCAACCGGTGGTCTCCAAGGTGGAAGAGTTGTCTCCAGCGGAGGTCTCCAAGGTGGGAGCGTTGTCGTGCGTTCGGTCGTGGTAGAACTAGGTTGAACAGTTGGACCTGTGGTGGTCCTTGGGCGAGTTGTAGTAGTTGCTGGAGGAGGTGTGGGGGTCGTTGGGGGAGTTGTTGTGCTCGTTGGACGAGTTGTAGTTGGGCGAGTTGTAGTGGTCGCTAGACGAGTTGTAGTAGTGGGCGGAGAAGTCATCCACCAGGGGGTAGTCCATCTATCAGGTGCGATCGTTGGAGCTCCTGTTGTAGCAGCAAGCGGAATAGTTGACATCCACCATTCCCTGGAAGTCGTGCTCACAGCCGGACGAGTTGTAGGAACCGCTGGAGCAGAGGTCGACATCCACCACGGAGGAGTGCCTGTAGCGCTAGGCGTTGTTGACTTCCACCATGGCTCAGTGGTGGTGGGAGGAGTAGTCCTCACTGTTGGACGAGTTGTCGTGACCGTTGGAGCAGATGTCGACATCCACCACGGAGAAGTACCTGTAGCGCTAGACGTTGTTGACTTCCACCATGGTTCAGTGGTTGATGGAGGAGTAGTCCTCACTGTTGGACGAGTTGTCGCGACCGTTGGAGGAGATGTCGACATGCGCCATGGGGTAGTCCACGCGCTCCGCGTGGTAGTTGTCGGGGTAGTCATCGTTGCTGCTGGAGAAGAAACGAACCTCCACCATGGAGTCGTGCTAGTTGAGTCAGAAACTGTAGACATCCACCATGGTGTTGTAGTTGTCTCAGGACTTGTGTGCACTGGTGGACGAGTTGTCGCGATCGTTGGAGGAGAGCTCGTCATCCACCAAGGGATAGTCCCTGCTGTTGATGCCACGGTGGTTCGAAGAGTCGTTGTTGTGGTAGTCCGGGGAGAAGGAGGAGAGGGAGCCTTCGTTTTTGGAGGTGTGGCAGTTGTTCGGGAAGGTGTCGTGGTTAGACGAGTTGTTGTCTGCGGAGGGCGCGATTTCTCAGTCGTTGGCTCTCGGTGGAATGGTGGTGGACTCTGAAATTAACTAATTTAATACAAGAATTCTCTAAAAAATGAAGTAGGAAAATCAGTAGGAAAAGTAAATGGGGTGGTAGTGAATCTGTTGTTTCTTTCGATGGGCTCAATCATGCGTGCAATACTGGTCCAGATTCGCATACGTAGTTGGAAGTGTAGGGGCAGTTTGGCAATGGGGCAGGGCATTTCACACTGCTGCTACTTCATCGACGTGTCGACCCATCTAGAGAGCCTTTTCTTGAGATGACAGGCTTTACCATGATGGCTCAACGAGCTTGCTCCAGCTTCACAAGAGTCCGCAGGTTTCACCAAGGTGAGATGTGTAACGTGAAGGAAATTGCGAAATACCCCCTCGTCGCCGAACTGCGCAGCGTTTTCGTTTTGCACATCATATTTCAGGAAAAGAAAC